TTCTTTCTTTCTTTCTTTCTTTCTTTCTTTCTTTCTTTCTTTCTTTCAAATGAAACATACCAGCAAACTTCCCAGTATGGAAAATATGAAAAACAGATTTACTCCCAATCTAACTCCAGATCTTCTCTCTATCAGGCTAAAAAAATTCTAGTCCCTGAAATCTCTCATCATATTACTCTGACCAGTTTTGCTGACCTACTCTGGACCTTTTCCAAGCCAAGAATAAATCCCTCCAGTGAAGGAATCACTGGGTGAAACTCTACATCTTGTGCTATGCTGGAGGTCAGACTAGAATGATCACAAACATCCCTTCTCCCCTTAAAATCTGAATCTCAGCTACATCTTTCTTAAAGGGAGCTGATCAGAATGAGACACATGGCCCCAGATTATATTCGTCAGCAGCATTTTATCCTGGTTTGTTGGCTGATTTGCAATTGGGATAGAGCTGCAAAAGAAAAATAGCTGTTGTTGCAAAAATTGTCCACAGATCGTTAATTACATTCATGTGGTCAGAGCCTCAGCTTCATGCCTATTCGAAAAGATTGTTAATGAAAGAAAATATAAAGGCAGACAGGCCTGGCTATTGTGTGTGTTCCTTGGGGGCTTCCTTCACCACCTTTTTGGAAATGTGATGACCACTGAGTTTTTTCTTGGGGAAGTCAGAAGGTCCCTTGAGCAGGCAATTTATACTCTTTACTGTAGAGCAATTTTCAAACTCATTTTTTCCACCCTACAGTAGGGAAGGCACCGCATAAGCCGACAGGCTCAGAGAAAGTAAGACTGAATCTCTGCTCCACCACAGCCAGTTCTGGAGATATCCCTGGTGGTGTTCTGCTGAAGCACGCTCAGGCTGTCCAGTTCATCTTACCTCTTTCTCTGCTGACATGAAGGTTTTTTTCGTGGGACTGGCCACTCTCTTGTGCTTTGCAGGAGGTAAGTCCAGGACAAAAGTTTAATTAAATTGAATTTTTAAAAGGACAACATCCAGATGCTAGAACAGAATTCAGATATGAATTTCCAATGGGCTGGTTGTTAGACACTGCAGAACAAGGGTTTGTTTAGCTTATAAAGAAAGGCTGGTCCATTGGCTTGGGTTCAATTCCATGTTCTCTCCATGCCTTAGCCCCAGTTCCTCAAAGGTATTTAGGTGTCTTATTCCCATTGTTTTCATTTTATTTCTTTGATAGATTGATTCCAATACCTTTGAGCAGGGCATAAATTCTCACACAGTATTTCCCGGAGCCCCCATTTCCAACCCCCCCTCCCCCCATTTGGGGCTCTGGGTTTCAGTTGTGGGTCAGGGTCAGGGGCGACAGATTCTTCCTAAAAGTGTTGGGGGATCCACGATGCCTTGCCCACTCCAGGGCCCCGCACCTTTACCCCTGAGCCCTGCCGGGGAGCCCAGGCCCCTTCACCTGCCTGAGGTGGGGGGGCTCAAGAGCAGCCCCCAGCCCATGTCTCCACCCCCCGGACTCCCTGCCCAGGGCAGATGGAGAGTCCACAGCTCCCCACAGCTGCTCACGTGGTTCTTACCCCGACCCAGCTCTGGCTTCTGGCCTGGCCTAGGGGCTAGGCTTCAGGGAGAAGAGGAGGGGCAGGGGGCCAGGGCGAAAAGTGGATGGGCCATGGCCTGTTGGCCCACCCCGTTCTGGCACCCCTGAGCAGGTAACTTGGGGCTTTAGCCTCATGGGTGTGCCAGGGTTTGGGGCTTCTATGGCGCTCCAGGGCTCAGGGCTTCAGCTCCACAGGAAGCACCAGGGCTCAGGCCTTGAAAATATTTACCAAAGCTCTGCTCCGAAGAGCTCTGTCAGAATCTAATCCCTGCCTTGGAGGCTCCGGGTCTTAGGGCTGGTCTACACTGAACAATACACAGCCCTCAGAGATGTAGTTAAGCCAACCGAAACTCCGGTTTAGACAGCGGAAGACACAGCTCTAGGGCTTGTCTACACTTAAAATGCTACACTGGCGCCATGGCAGCTGTGCCACTGTAGTACACTACCTACGTCAACAAGAGGGGTTCTCCCATTGGCAAAGGTAATCCACCTCCATGACAGGTGGTAGCTAGGTCGCCAGGAGAATTCTTCTGTTGACCCAGTGCTGCCTACCCGGGGACTTAGATCGTCTTAACAACGCTCCTCTGAGGTGTGGATATCGCACACCCCTGCTCAAAGATATTGGAATCACTCAAAGAAAGAAATTGAAAACAATGGGAATAATACACCTAAAGTTTAATCTTTCAATAACGATTATGTCCTGGGATGAAACCTCCAGGAATACATCCAACCAAAATTGGCAACCCTAGCTAGTGTAGACCAGACCCTTGTCTCTCTAGGCTTGTTTCCCATTGGTAAAACAGCACTTCCCTGCCTTGTATGGGTGTTGTGAGGGTAAATGAATTAAAGACTTGAGGTACTCAGACAGTATGGTAATGGGACCCGTATAAATTCCTAAGATATCTAGAGAGAGAGCTGTATCTGCTCAACCTCCAGGAAGTGTAAGATATATGACAGGGAATAACAAACTGATGACACCTTTAATGGGTCCCCCTAGTGGACAAAGTGTGAAATGCTGTCTACATCCCACCAAATATTGTTTTTCTTTGGAGCAGTACCAGGCCTTGTGCTGTGGGTCTGCTCCTACACCCATTGACTTCAAAAACCAGTGCTCCATTATGCCACCCAACTCATTGTCAGATGAAGCCCTGAGTTGTTTCTTCTGTTTATCTGACGTAGGGGAGGCTCTGCGCTGCAATGTCTGCAAACGCAAGTTTCTCCTCTTTGGATGCGTCCAGGGATCAGGTGAAACGACGTGTGGATGGAGGGAGAGATGTGTGAATATTAAAGCTTCTCTTGGTATGTATGGATTTCAAGGACTACCGACATCGAACTGTGTACTTATAGTGGGGTTATCCCTGAAGCAAAAGTTGTGCACCACAGACTTGATGGACGGGGAGCAACAGTCAGATTGGGATATGGGGAGGGGGCAAGTTGAAAGAAAGCAGCAATTGCTTTCTTCTTAAGTATTGCTCACAACTCCAAATTCAACCCACAATCTCAGACTCAACAGAAATACTCATGGCACACTGGTGTCCTGGTTAATGACTCGGCCTTCTAGGTGTGATGATAATAACAACATCAATTGTGCATGAAGTAGAGCCCATGGGTGTATTTTTTGCAGGCCTGGGGTCTTGCTGTGTCACTTAGAAGTCACTTGTCTTTCTGTGCTTTCTGCTACACACCGTTGTCTGGAACTGTGTGTAGCAGAGCTGGTCAAAATATTTATTTTCAACTGCAGAAGGTGATGCTGGTGCGGGAGTGTTCTAGACCAGTGGTTCTGAACCTTTCCAGACTACTGTACCCCTTTCAGGTGGGTCTGACTTGTCTTGCCTACCCCCAAGTTTCAACTCACTTAAAAACTACTTGCTTGCAAAATCAGATGTAAAAATACAAACGTCACAGCCACTATTACTGAAAAATTGCTGACTTTCTCATTTTTACCATATAATTATTAAATAAATCAATTGGAATATAAATATTGTACTTACATTTCAGTGTGTAATATATAGAGTAGTATAAATAAGTCATTGTCTGTATGAAATTTTAGTCTGTACTGACTTTGCCAGTGCTTTTTATGTATCCTGTTGTAAAACTGGGCAAATATTTAGATGAGTCAATGTATCCTCTGGGAGACCTCTGTTTACCCCCACGGGTACGAGTACCCCTCATTAAGATCCACTATTCTAGAGAGAGTTTGATGGACGGATGGTGGTTGTTGAAGTTGTTGAAACTTGAAAATTTGTGTCAGGGCCGTCCCTAGTCGTTTTGGTGCCCTACGCAGCCACCCCCCCCCCCCCGGGGGGGGGGCCCCCGGGCCCCGGCGGGGGGGGGGGGGCTGGCTGGCCCCAGGCCTCCGCGGGGAGGCAGGAGCAGGCTTGGAGGGCAGGGGGGAAACCGCTCCCCAGCATGAGCCGGCAGAGCGGAGTGGGTTGAGGCTGGGTCACTCCACTTCCTGACACCCAGTGAGTGCAGAGCAGGCCCGACCCCGTACTCACGGGGCGGCGGGAAGTGGATTGACCCGGCCCCAGCCCGCTCTGCTCTGCTCCCCTGGCTCCCAGCCTTGGGACTTGGGGGGCAGGGGGAGCCACCCCCCAGCATTCACCAGCGGCGCGGCTGGGAGCCGGTGGCACAGACTGGGCTGGGGCCGGGTCGCTCCACTTATCGCTGCCTGGTGAGTGCAGGCCCAACCCCTGCTGCAGTCCTCAGGGGAAGGGGTGGAGTGGGGGCAGGGCTGGGGTGGGGCTGGGGTGGGGGCTTTGGGGAAGGGGTGGAGTGGGGCGGGGTTGGGGCGGAGCAGGGGTGGGAAGAGGCAGGGCTTGGGCAGAGCAGGGGCAGGGGTAAGGATGGGTAAGGATGGCCCAGGCTTGTGTCTTTCACTAACAGAAGTTGGTCCAATAAAAGATATTACCTCACCCACCTTCTTGCTCTAATATCCTTGGACCAACACAGGTATAACAATATCACAAATAACAATTTTTAATCTGTCTCTTTTCACGGCAGAATTTTCAAAGCTATTTATTTTTTAAAAAGATTAATTTCCTTTTCTCTTTCTCTCTCTAAATCCAGAGTTGTTCTGTTTTGTTTTGTTAAGGATTGAGAGATCATATATATTCACAATCCCAAAGTCGGTAAAACTACTCACAGCAAAATGAAACTACTCATACCATATATATAGGTATTTCATCAGTTGACTAAAATTGACAATATAGAAATACGTACAATGAAAACAACAAAAAAATGGGGAAAAATTACAGAACAACCAACAGACTTCCCCCCCCCCCACACACATTTCTTTTCTTCTCTTTAGCTCTATCAGAAGTCTTCAGAAAGTGAGAAAGTTAAATAAACACGTCCATGAAAAATTCATTTTATTAAAAACAGACCTAACATTTCAATGACATTTTGTTCTCTTGGAGAACTGTGGCTCAGCTCCGCTGTGTGGCATAAAGTGAGAAGAACAACATTTTGCTCCCTAAATCCTTTAGAGATTCTTGAATAGGAGATGCTACATAAGCTCCCAGTGGTATTTGCCAGTGAGGGGTGTGCACAAGGGGGGGCAAAGGGGTGCACTCCCCCAAATCTCCATGTGTTCGTGCAGCTCATGGAGGGAGGAAGTAGCAGGGTGGCTGGCTGCTAGCTGAGCTGTCCCCCCCCCCCCCCGCCATAGCTACTGCTTATCCTGCCCTGCTGTTGGAGTCCCCGGTGTTGCCGCTGTACTATACACTGAAATGTAAGTACAATATTTATATTCCAACTACTTTATTTTATAATTATGTGGTAAAAATGAGAAAGGAAGCAATTTTTCAGTCATAGTGTGGCTGTGACACTTTTGTATTTTCATGTCTGATTTTGTAAGCAAGTCGTTTTTAAGTGAGATGAAGCTTGGGAGTACACAAGACAAATCAGACTCCTGAAAGGGGTACAGTACTCTGGAAAGGTTGAGAGCGGCTGCTTTAGACTTTTCTCTGCTAGATGGAAGAGCTCATTATCAAATATTTGTTCCCCACGTAAGTACTTATAGACTGTAATCAAGTTGAATGTATATTTTTCTAACCACGCCCCTTTTCTATCTCTCTCCTCAGGGAAATTACCTCTCTACTACCGGCTGAACTGCACCTCAGTGTTAAATTGCGGCAAGGTGAGGGCACCCGACGAATCTCACCTTACTTATGACTACACCTGCTGCAACACTGATTTCTGCAATTGAGTTGGAGGGGAGGAAGGTGTGTGTGTGGGGGGGGGTCAGTATCATTGAATCAGTTCAGCTCTTACATTTGCTGTCTCTCTTCTTCTGCAGTGCAGGGAAGGGGAACGGATCATGAGCCTCTTTTTCTATGTTTCTTTTAAATTCAGGTGTTTTTTTTAAGATTCAGAGATATTTCCATTCTTCCAGGAAAACACCTGCTTTCCTGTTGTCTTTAAAGCAGGGATCATGTCTCATAGTGATGAGACTTGGGGTAAAATGCTCTAAAGTGTCTGTCAGAAGCCTAATGTGGAATATTGGAAACTGTGTTGAAAATGACATACTGTCACTTTATGTGTGAGGGGGTTGCCTGGCCTGCAGCCAGGCTAGGGGGCTCTGAGGGAAACGTGATCTGGGTTGTCTGAGTCAGTTAACAGACAACCAGGTGGGGTGAGTTGCGCCTTTCTTGTTGTAGGGAGCAGCCTGCTTTGTCTCTCTCTGTTTCAGAGTTCTTGTGTGTCTTATCGTTCAGAATTTTAAGAGATCAAGTTGTGTTAAGTTGCAACCTTCCAGCAAGAGTATTTATGTTCTGATCCAACTTCTCCATGTGTATGCCATGAATATAGCACCTAAGTCCCACTAACTTTCCATTTTACTCATAATAATTTTTCTTAGTTCCAAAGTCATAGGGTCTTTAGGAATCCATGATCCACTAAAGTCAATGGGACTGTACTCATGTAACTAACAGTAGAACCTAGCCAGGTGTCTATATTTTCTTCTCCAGCTGGTCTTATTTATCGAGGTCTAAACTTGGCAGGTCTGATGCTGTAATGGCTGCTTAGCACACTGATCGGAGTCACCTCGCTTTTGCCTTGTACTCCCCCCATCTATTGGTTGTATCCACTTGTGGTGTCTCCTTCCTAAACTTAGATGGTAAGTGCTTCAGGGCAGGGACTATCTTTTTGTTATGTGTGTGTACAGCGTCTAGCACAATGGGACCTGGGCCCCTGTCTGGGTCCTCTGGGCACTACCACAATAAAAATAAATAATAATAATAATAACATGATCTCTGTGTTATGGCAGGGAGCAAACAGATTTTTGGTGCTGAGGATCTTAAATCAACAAGAATATTCTGCTCAATTTACTGTCTATTTAGATTGTATGCTCATGATTTAGGACTATCTGTTGCTTTGCTTCTGTGTAGTATGCTGCAAAATAAGGTCCTGGTCTCAGATGCTACTGCAATATACATAATAATAATGATAATCTTTCAAGGAAGAAATACACACACCAGCCATGCGTATTTAAATTGCTAAATAAATCATTCAAATGTGAAGCCACTTCAGTGTTCTGTGATTCATTTTCACCCTCTGTAAAACAGGGATAACATACTCACGTACCATGCCAGGGGTTTGGAGGCTAAATCCATTAATGTTTGTAGACCACGTCAGGATTCCCCACTGGAGAAGTGCCAAACATGACAGGTATTATTCTATGAAACTGGAAGGCAAAACAGTTTAAAAATGGAAAGTCAATAGGAAGATATTTTAAACATAATCCATAACTCGCCTGTGGAACTCAGTACCACAAGGTGTCACTGAGGTCAAGAGCGTGTAAAAAGGATTAGACGTTTATATAGATAATGAGAGATAAAGAAAAAAAATTGATGGATATAAATTCTGATTCTTTGGGGCATAAGCCATACAACTGGGAGAGCTCAGGGAGAAACTTCTGTGGGCATAGTTGCCCTTTAGGGTGTTACTTTTACCTTGTTCTGGTTGGGAGTAAAGACATATTCAGGCTTAACTGCCATGGTCTAACGGTCTGACACTCTAGCACAAGTAAAATTGTGTACGTGCAAGAAAATGCAAGTAAGCCTGTCTGTGAGCAAATGAAAGATACAAGGAGGCACAAAGCTGGAAGAGAACAGTTTGAACTAGCACAAAACAAATCGGGGAAGAGAGCTAATGCAAAAATTAGAGGCTAATCCATATGTATAAGGAAAGGTAGTAGAAAGTTATATATAGTTGGCATAACAAAGGATCAAGGAAGCCGTGAATTGACTCGTCCTGGAGGTGACTGTGGTGGTACCATCCCATTTCCCAATCTGCTTCCCACTTGTAAGTAACCGATCACTGCTTATGGATACTTTTCTTTATTAATAAAGATTTGTTTGTTCCATCTACTGGGCAGTCCTAAAGCAACTGGTCATTGTTGGAAGCAGGAGAATAACTGACGAGATGGATCATGGGTCTAACCTGGTCTGTCAATTCCTGCGCTGCTATGAAAGGCGATATCATTTGAGGTCTTGGGCACTAGGTGAGGTGCAATGTACTCCCTCAGTGGGACAATGTTTGGGCTCCCCTGCTTTGCATCCATGCCGTTATAGCACTTTCAGCTCCCACCAGGCCTTAAATTCAGATGGAGCTGTCCAGAGCAGAGCTCTGGTAAACGTTTTCAACCCCCAAGAATTTCGATAGCATGTTGGGGGTGGCATGGGCAGCTCTAGGAAATACTTTAGAGAATTTAAGCCATTGCTCCCACATAAGTGAAACATCCCCTAAGGGAGGACTGATTCACTGGGGGGGAGGAGCTTTCACAACAGGCTGCAGAAAGGGGCACTCTACCCTGTACCAGGTGATTGACAAGGGTGCCTCTTTTTAGAAAGATAAATCTTTAATCAGACTGGGACTTTTCAGCTTGGAACTCTTTACCAGAGGATGTTGTGAAGCCCAAGACTATAACAGGGTTCAAAAAAGAACTAGATAAGTTCATGAAGGATAGGTCCCATCAATGGCTATTAGTCAGGATGGGCAGAGATGGTGCTAGCCTCTGTTTGCCAGAAGCTGAGAATGAGTGACAGGGGATGGATCACTTGATGGTTCTTTTCATTCCCTCTGGGGCACCTGGCATTAGCCACTGTCAGAAGACAGG